CTGCGATCACAAAGGCCATAAAATGACTATGTATCGAGCCGTAGTTGATCAATCCATGTGCTGCAACATGATATGTCTAGCACAATGGAATGCGTTTGTAGATTTGCAAGTGAAAACACTCATCTGACTCATGCAGATTAATTTAGCTAGAATGTTCATCTGCGCGAGACGATTCGAAGTGAAAATATTAACGCGGTTCCAGTCGAATAATAATTAATCCGATTCGCGTTAATTCGTCGCGTACTCGAATATCTAGCACCTGAAACAGGTTTTCGCCGTTTCACGAATTCATTCGGAGAGTCGTCGGCTTTCAAGTCCGGCAAAAACGCAAGATTTTCGTAACGATATTTATTAAAAGGATATTACGGAGCTGTCACCTCGCTCGCGTTCTCGACGCTTTCAGCGTCGGCATTTACCGCTTACAATGTTAGATTATTGTCTTTCCATTACTGAGAAAAAGAAATGGCTACTGGTTGACCCTCTTTGCGCAACGATTAGTGCAAGTGAAAAATAGATTATTTCCGCTACGAAAGCGGAATAGTCTTGTTTAGCAATTATCGTTGATCGAACATCGCGAGCGCATACCCAAGGCCAAGGGGACGTGTACACGTTTACCTTGGAGACGTTTTTTAAGGAAATGTGGCAAGTTCGCGAGTCGTTTTCCCAGATATATTCGCGTTAAAATATACTCGACGAATTTTACGCTGTTAATTGAATTTCCCAGTCATTGGCACCGAGGACGCAAGCTTATGCAACCCTTCGTTACGAGCTATTGTACTTATTATTATTGTACTTACTATTGTTGCTTATTATTATTGTACTTACTATTATTACTTATTATTATTGTACTTACTATTATTACTTATTATTATTGTACTTACTATTATTACTTATTATTATTGTACTTACTATTATTACTTACTATTATTACTTATTATTGTATTTACTCTATTATTACTTATTATTATTGTACTTACTATTATCGTACTTATTATTATTGTATTTACTATTATTACTTATTATTACTGTACTCACTATTATTACTTATTATTATTGTACTTACTATTATTACTTATTATTACTGTACTTACTATTATTACTTATTATTATTGTACTTACTATTATTACTTATTATTATTGTACTTACTATTATTACTTATTATTATTACTTACTATTATTACTTACTATTATCGTACTTATTATTCGATGCAAATCACAAATCGAGTCATTCGTTCTGATAACCAACAAACAATTTATAAGTAGTTATAAATGCAGATCTTATATCATTATATTGTTATTATTATATATAGATCTTATTGGAGAACAAATTTTTCAACATTTTTCCTTCATGAAATCTACGAATAATCTAAAATCCTTTAATGACTGGATTATATCTAAAAGAAGCTTAATCACATTTTTAAGATAATAATCTCAACAGAAATTGTTATACTGTGTTGTTAGACTTCCAGTTGGTTAATGTATCATCATTAAATTCGTACGAATGTAGCAATCAACGTCGCATCATCTTCTGCCTTTCAAGCTTTTCTCGCTCGACACTTTTATTATATAACCCACATAATTTAACACATTTCTTGCCGGATCATAACGAATGAACCGCGATTAATTTAATACCGCAACGGCTTTCCATGGTTACAAGTGCTGTGTGACATAATACTCCATCATTTATAGACTACGCAATCACTATGTTAGTTTAGGTAAAATCTTTGATCCTTAATTACGCTATTAATATACAGGGTTGGTCAGGCAACGTGATCAGCATAATTTATTCTGTCGCCAGTGGTTCGATCGGAAACTTTTTCACCTGAAATAACATGATTTAAGGAGACCTTTAAGATGATCGTGCCAAAATTTTGTGTCAACCCTTTCTTTTCGGAATTATCAAAGTTTATTTATAGGTATAGCCACGGTTTTTTTTGTTTATATTCTGAGAAAACTATGCCTTTCGAATTCGTCTCAGCATCCCCTGAGCAATGGGTACAACAAAATTGTAGGTAAATCTGTGCAAAACTGAAGGTGACCTTGACAACTCCGAAGGGGAAGGATTAACAAGAAATTTGGTACAATCATCTTAAAGTTCTCCTAAAAACCACGTTATTTTAGCTCGAAAAGTTCCCCGATCGAGCCACTAGCAACAAAATTAATTAAGCTGATCACGTTGCACGTGGTCCACCCTGTATGAAAATGGTTTCTTTCTCGTCGACGTTAATTCAAAAGGGAATTGCGTTGCGTAAGATAAAATGACTCGCGAAATGCGATGGTATAGGATGCTTTTGCATCGCGCCGAGCGTTTCCGTGGACTTTGCTAATAGAAGATCTTCAAACAAGGAAGTGGATTGCCATGATAATTGAGTTATCATTTCAAATAATGGGAGAAGAATGAACAAACGAATTTCATCTTTTCTCGCCGTGTTTAGACAGCCGACCGCGACACTTGGAAATTATCGTTTCATTTCGCGTGCATAATACCCTTTGCATAACATTAATGTGCAGTTTCGCGTCCGATAATCCACGTGTCGCTTTGTTTTTCTGAGGTCGCTTAGCGATACGTAGTTTATTTATTTATCTATCTATTAAACCGGATAAACCAATCAAAATGATAAAAAGTGGTATATGAAAATGTCGGATGTTCGTTACGTTCGAAAACACTAGAAAAAGTGTTCGGAGGAATTTAACGTTTGCTGCAGTGATCAAGAGTTCGTGTTAATGGAATAACGTCGTAGTTTTTTTATACAGATGCAACATCAGATAGTAAACTTAATTGCGTTTAGACGTAATAAATTCGATATCGATTGACAACAAGCTGTGACAATTATTCTACATAAAGCTGTATTACCACTGATCCGACTTGACTTATTTTGCAACTTATTGAACTTATTTTAAACTTATCTTTCAATTTATTTTGCAAACTTAATTTGCCCATTGGTACCAAATTGGCGCAATGGTAAACAATCAGTACGACGAAAAGACAAATAATCGCGCACGACTTCTGTGAGAAGCGAAACACAAATTATTTCTTTCTTTTAGATCGAAATAAAACTTATTTTGTGGATACAGTAACGACGAAGACAGTCTAACTGCCGGATAGCGAAAGGGGACGATGGATTAAAGTAATCTGTTCTTGTTTCAGCGAAATGTTCGTCGAAAACTGCGAGGTTCCCGCGGTTCCCGTGACGAACTCGAGATTCGGCAGTCCTTCGACGATCGTCTGGCTGATCCTCGCTGGTGAACTTCTGATCGGTGGCTTTGTATCCGGTCTTCTGGCAATCCTCGAGTTCGTGAAGTCGTTGCTGCCTAAACCGCCAAGAGATCTAACTGGCGACGTGGTCTTGGTAAACGTTTTAACATATTTTAATGAACCGCAAAAATGGAACCGAAAGTTCGGTTCGATCGAGATCGACAAGTTACGGCGGTCAAATTGCAATTTTGCAAATATCGAGGGAAAATCGGGCAGTGCCAACCTGTCTGAATTGTTTCGTTACATCTTATTGTTGGACCAGAGCCGATGAGAGACAACATTTTTACGATCTGCGTATTTTTAAATGCGTCAAGATTCGCAAGAAACGATATCAACGGAAGAACTTGAAAAATTCCATCGATTGGAGAAGAAGTCGTGTGGCACGACATAGTTGAATAAATAATCATACGAGTTCACGTGCTAATGATTATTATGCAAATATCCCGGAAGGCAGTGAAGGAAAAATACGTTCGATCTACTTATCCTTCATCGCTAGGACTCGTATTTGCGTCACGTAACTATTCCTATAACGTAAACGTGCAACCGCGTAATTCATTCTAATGATTGTTAAGCAAAAAGTTGTAATAAAGATGCGATTAATTCTATAGTACCCTCTCTCGCTCTCTTTCTCAATAGTTCGATATACGAGGCTATAGTATTTCCACGAAATGAAATGTTATGATTTGAAATAAAAAAATATTAATATAAATATTAATATCGAAATATATTATGAATTGAGATATCGCGGTTTTTCGGGTCTCGCGGCTCGATTTTCTAGAATCTGCATGCCGGTGTACATTAATATGAGCACATACTAATGCTAGAATAAAAACGATGACTCGTCTTTCTTATTTCTAATTTTTGGCCACGATTCGAAGGCAATTCGGAGGCCGAGAAATTCACAGCAACCCGAAATTCGGCATTTCCAGGAGAATTAATTTCTCTCTAATTTCTCTCTAAATTAATTGCTGTACTTCCTTTCACGCTACTTTTCTATATAATAAAAGAACTGTGTGATTTCTTGTACGCAAATTGAACAAACTATAGCAAACGTGTCGCACGAAATACGCACAGAACGTGAACATGATTGAGGAGGAGGTGAAAAAAGAAGCTAATTTATGGCCCCCCGTAAAAGTCTGATACGACGGAACACGTTCCTTTGTTTCAGATAGCCGGTGCCGCGTCGTCCCTCGGCGAATCTCTCGCGGATGAGTTCGCCAAAAGTGGTTGCTCCGTGATCTGCGTGGACCAGGATGCTGAGGCGATCAAAAGGATAGCCAGCAGCTTGAACGCGCGCTACCCCATCGTCGAGGAAGTGAAGCCGTCCCACAGAAAGGACGCCTCGTCGGGGCCGAGAACAGGGAAAACCGCTTACGAATGCGATCTTCTAAACAGAGACGACATACGGAAAGTAGCCGAAAAGATTAAGGACGAGGTTGGCAGAGTCGACATTCTTGTGACCTGCGTGGGCAGTCTGGATCAAGATATATTCGACACGGCCAGCAAAACGCTGATGAGCCATTTTTGGGTAATCTTCGGTTTTTCTAGTTCGCGGAAAGAGAAACAGGTTCGGCGATATTTATTGACCGATCAGCTGTGTTCGACGAGCATAATCGTCGCGATTAAAGGGTAGCTGCCATTGGCTATTTATTGTAATTTTACAATTGTAATTTTCGCGAGAACGAAAACGTATTCTCAAATTTCAAGATGTTATATTAACATTTTATATTAATTTTATTTTATATATTATTATATATTATATTAATTTTATATTATATATCATTATTTTATTTTATATATTAATATTTATAATAATATTTTAATTATATATATATATATATATATATATATAATATTAATATATAATAATAATAATATATATATTATTATTATTATATATTATAATTATTATAATTATATATTAATATTATATATATTATATATATATATATATATATATATATACATATAATATATAATATTACTATATAATATTAATAATAATAATATTTATGCTAATATTTTATTAGCAAGCGAATAAATAACATGAATAATTTGAGATAAACGTGTCACGCGTCCACGAATGCTGTGGCTGAAACAGCTTATTTAATATCAGCAATGAAATTGTTGATTTTATCAAAATAAAACCGTCTCTTTGATCCGACATTTTCACGGCGACGCTTACTCGACGCGTATTCGACGAGTACGTTCGCCGCGCGCTCTGAAAAGAAGGCGGCACAGCTAACCGGTCGAATATGAATCCTGGTTCTCTCGCGTGTATACACGGTTCCGTTCTTATTTTTCTGTTTCCGTAGACGGTGTTGGCGTTCCTGCCGCTCATATTGTACCGCGAACGGGGCCACATCGTCGGCGTCACACCGGTTGCATCGTGTCGCGACGCTTACCACGGTTCAAGGGCGGCGATAACCAGTCAGTATAAAAGTGTAGCAACGATGCATTTCTAAAACCGAAATCCCGCGGCTCGACAATACATATATCGTCTCGATGTCAACTATTTTCTGCAGGTCTCATGGAGAGCTTGTGCCAAGAATTGAGCAACCATAGCAGCCGGCTGACGTTCCTGGCGTTCTCGCCAATCGCGAGATACAGGTAATGCAACTAATCCCCGAAAATTCTTTCGCGAACGCCTCGCTCTCGAGCAAGCCCGACGATCGTTTTCCTCGATCGCTGGGTATCATGTTTCGCACGCGTTTCGTTGCGTGCGCTACGTCGCTGGTCAGACTATGAATTAACAAATGCCGGAGACGATTCGATCATTCGTAACATTTACCACCGTATCTCCTTCTCCCTTGTTGCGCAATTTTATTTACTTGTATTCTCATTGGATGGTCCAAGCACGCCGGAAGAAAGCGAGAAAGAGGTGGCCGCGGGCATCGTGCAAGCGGTGCGGACCGATCGGAACACTTTGAATGCCGACTGGACGTCCACGCTCTTGTATCGGATGAGGTATACTAGCTTTGTGGAGTAGCGTGAATCGAACGAAGCGCACCGTATCGCGAAATATACGTTTTGTAATCGTTCGTTTCAGCTGCGCGGCGTATCGCTGCATAGCGACGTTCACGGAATGGGTTCACTCGCAAGGGGCCGACTAGCGCGAGGTTTCGTGCGTTTTTCTGTGCCACGTGGAACACGATCGAACGAATCGAGGGTGCACGAAGAAGGCGGAAGTCACGCTGCCGATTCCAGGATCTCGAAGAAACTCGCACGGTGAATCGAGAGAACAATGTACAAAAACTGACGATACAGCACTGTTGATGCAGTTAGAACTAATTAGCGCAGGAAGAACACGCGGGTGCGTAGAGAAGGCACGATTTATTCAAGAATGAACAAGGACGAGAAGAGGAGAGACGGTCGCACAGAAATTTCATGTAATGACTCCGTTCGGGATCGATGATACGCGGCGGTTCAGTCGGGTATCAGAACGTCGTAATGGCCGCTGTCCGAGTTTCCGGTGAACAGGAGCCTCGCGGTTCGATAATAAGAGCTCACATGGTTGTGGAACACACGCTTCAGTTGATATATGTCTCTGATTTCCCGGTATATCGACAGGTTCATGTAATTCATTTTCGTGGCCACCGTGCACTCCAACTCGCTGGCAAACGTGCCTACTATGCTCATGTAGTCGCAGTACGCCTGACGGTCCGATATGTTCCATTCGGCCATCACGAATGGCCCGTACTCGTACCAGTTGTCCTTGATGTGTTGGACGACCTGTTGGACGACGGCAAACAAATGTCAATTATAAACGTGATTTATTAAACGGCCGCCGTTTCGACGCGAACGAAACGAAGATTGCGATCGCGTAGTCGTTAACTAGACCGCGGCTCTTTACGCGCTCGGGGTTTCTAAAATGGGGAGGTGCGCGCACCGATACGAAGATCATTCGAATTATTATTCGCGATAAGAAACTTCTTAGTCGACGTAAGAAACTCGGCTCTTCTTCAGGCGGTCGGTAATCGAGCAACGAAAACGAGAATCTGCATGAAGATCTAGTCCAGTCATTGCAATCTGTTTTTCTTTTTCTCTCGAAGAAGTAGCTTATTGGTCGAACGTTTGGAACGTTAAATAAACGAACTTGCATAATCGTTGCAAGTGATTTTAATGGTTTAGCAGTTACCGAAGCATCGACTGAAGACGAGTCAATTTCTTAATAGCATTCAATCTTCGTTTCTAACGATTGCTTGATTATTCGCGTATATTATATGTTCGTATCAAATTAGGATCTTTCCGTGTTAAGTTCTACTTGTAAGAATGGTCACGATCGAAACATTGAAGTGTTAGCAGACAAAATTTATTTTTAATATATCCGACAAAGCTTCTAAACTCTGCCTCGTGCAAATTAGATGATCATTTGAAATTCTTGGGATTTTGAAAATCTCTCTCGAGATTTTCAAAATCGTTCGAATATGATACTTGATACTGACGATTTAAACTATGCTTCTTCAATGGGATGAGCTATTCAGGTTCCCTGCAAGCCAATCGGGGAACAGCGCGCATTAATTTTCAAGCCGCGATTCGCGTTACTCGAGAAATCAGTATAACTCCTCTTTACGACGTTTACCAAATGCTTCATAATTAGGATACGTAGCGATTCATAAATTATTGTAACAATTAAAGACTGTTGCTGAGAGAAACGCGCCGACGTATGCGAAACGGTCGCCGAGTAAATCGAAGTGCAGCGCCTAGGTCCTATTCCTGCAAGCTTTTCTTCCTCCCTAAATGAACACTTGTGTCCCCCGCCATTCGAATGCGCATCCAATTCCGGAGCGAATCTCGTCTCAGCGGAGAATTCTCTCAGCCATCGGTGCAAAGCAATTTCTGTTCCCACATCTCGGTGGCTGAGCAAGTTGCGCCCCGAAGCCGAAGCGCAAGAATAGGACTTACTAGTTGTACCAGGAAAAATAAAGCGCACCATTGTACGGAGGTGTCGGTGTTCGTCCTCATTTCGCCATAGAATGTAACTGATCGCTCGGAACATGCAATTCCCATCGCCGTATATGTTGTGCACGCGAAACGTGCCCTCAGCGCACCTTAACCGAGCCGTACCTACAACGAAATTGCGAACACGTGAATAAGGAAACGACGGGCTGACTGCGAACGTTTCGAGAGACCTTTTTTGAAAAGGGTGAAACGTTTGTTTTTAGGTTTACGGGTCCGAACGGTTCTGGATTCGCGCGAGATCAACTCGGTGCACGAACTCCAATCCGTGGACCGGAAGCGCGGGAATTTCGTTCCCCCAATTCTTGAAGCGTTCCTGACGTCACCGCGAACCAAATATTCCTTGTCTCTGCGGCAATCGCACCTTTTCGCATTCTTGATCAACGATGGACGAGACAACCGCCTCTCTATCGACAAAATATTCTGACTAGTGCGTTATTCGAACTGCGAGCTGTGCAGAGTTAATCGCACAGCGGGCGATTTGCCCAAAAACCGTGGCTGAAACATGTATTTTTGCAAGGTACAGTAAATTCTTTCCAATACTTCTTCAGCTTGTAAACAAGAAAGGACAATTTGGGAACAGGAGATACGATTATCCGAGCCTAGCGGCTCATTTTTATAATTAACGATTGTCAACAATTATAAGAACCAGTAAAAAGTCGTATCTCCTATTCCGAAATTGTCCATTTTTGTTTACAAGCTGAAGGAAAATTAGGAAGAATTTACTGTATACGTTATTTGCAAGTCTTGGACCGTATAGTCTGAGTAAAAAATCGTATCTCCTATTCCGAAATTGTCCATTTTTGTTTACAAGCTGAAGGAAAATTAGGAAGAATTTACTGTATACGTTATTTGCAAGTCTTGGACCGTATAGTCTGAGTAAAAAATCGTATCTCCTATTCCGAAATTGTCCATTTTTGTTTACAAGCTGAAGGAAAATTAGGAAGAATTTACTGTATACGTTATTTGCAAAGTCTTGGACCGTGTAGTCTGAGTTTGGTATTATTATTTATTTACCAGCATAGAGAACTACCTTTATGAAACTAATCTTTATAGGCACGGTGACCATACGTTCTTTATTTAAGTCAAGAATACCTATCTCTTTCACCTGTTCTTCATATTAAACAAAATTAAATTTTCACGACGAAAAAGGGAAGAACTTCAATTTTCTTTACCGTCTTCGAAGATGTGGCTCCCGAGGTAGAAACACACCATACAAGGTAAAAATAGCGTTCTCTCAAAAATGCTAAAATCTGAACTTCAGAAACGTCCAATTTAGGTTTCCTTCACGATCGAGATATGGTCTCTGCTTCATAGATTGCCGCATCTTTCGGTGGTATTGAAATGCGACCCAAAAACGGGTAAGATTGTACGCTCGACCTATTTACAAATTGAACAACGCGATTATTCACATCAGCAAAATTTCGTACCATGACGTTTTCATTTTGTGGAAATTCTCACGCAGAAATTGCATCGATCGATGCTCTTTTTTTCAAACGTTGAAACTGCATGCATATATACACTATTATACAGGAGCATAATAATTTTAGAACGATGGATTGTAGCGTTTCTGATGCAAAATGATGTGTTACAAGATTAGGTATCACCTAACAATATTTCATTTCTTTGATGACAACGTCGGTTCAGGTAATTCATAAAAATTGCACGAATATCTATTTTTAAGTACAATCAAAGAGGGTCGAAAATAATGTGAAAAAAATGATATAAGAGTTACCGGGGTATTATTTATACTTTCTACTTGACGAGCTGATTAATCGATAACACGAATTTTAAGTGGATACTCGAGTAAATTTTTTTAAACGAGGCGCACCATATGCGGGACGATAAATCTAAATGGGTTCAAGTGTTTAGCACACTGTGTTGTTTAAAAAGAAATTTGAATTAAAAGATAACAGCTTGTCAGCGACACTGATTCATGGTGTTATATTTGTAATTGTGTCGTAACCTTTGGATGGTGTTCCATGCGTTTCAATGAACCCGAAGGGGTTAAGAGAATCTCGGTGTACAGCGTTGTTGTGCGTTGCACGATTGTGTTATCGGCGGAGTGCGAACGTTTTCCCCTTCTTATCTACCATTTAAATGGTAGGGATTAGCTCGAACAAGGTATAGGTTTGTAGACGACAAGCCTGGTCGTGCCGTTCTCTACCTACCCCGTCATAAAGCTAGTCTCGGTCTCGGGTACAAAATAGTACCGCGGACGAACCGTGTGCATGTCACTTGCGCCAGTCACCCACGAGAAAGGTACGGGGAACAAGTGTTGAAGAAATATGGCGGCGCATTGGAACGTGCAAGTGTGATGCAGCGTACGCGCAACGAAACGCTCGTCTCCGACTGACCAAAGAGGCCTCGCTCGCTAAATATCCACCTGGCCAAATGACATGGGAATTTGTAATCGAAGGCACTTCCTGCTGACAATATGTGTCTTACAACTCGTGAGTTTCCCCGAACCAGCGTACACGATACTTTTTCGTCCCTTTGTGTATCTCTCTATATCAACGTTATCATTCGCGATCGCGATGCACTCCGCAAGCGTGCACTTTTTCTTTCGTTTACGGATCGAGTCGTGTTTACACCTCGTTCACTTAAATCGAATTTTCGGGTCCGCTTCACACTTTCGTTTTCTGGGAACGAGTATATTGTATTGCTGCGGAACACCGTGCTACCATCGTTACGTGGAAACGGTGAATCAGTTTACGAACAGTTTTATCGATAATGCGCTACGACTCGATCGCACGCCGTACACTTGCTCGATTATCGTATCGTTTTATCGATCCGGAGGTCGCTGTGTTATCTTTATACCGGGGGATCTCTGTAGAAACTCGCTGAACCATTTATAAACACCGCTTTTCCTACTTTCTATTACTTTCCTTGGCTCGATATGAAAGTTGACCATTTTTCATTGACCAGGCTTAATCCAGTTTAATAAGTCATAAGGAATAGTAATTTTTTAGTAATCAAAATCTCTTATGTAATGCTCGCATGCTCGCGTAGAATGCTTTTTTTTCTGAAAAGCAATGAATTGCATTCTACGGAGCTGATCTATGAACTCACTATGACTCTGAGCAATTAATTCAGTATTTGGAGCATAAGACAATTGGAACAGATTATGAATGCGTTGCACAAAGTGTTCGCTGAAATTGAAGGAGTTGCTTCATTTTGATGTTGGCCTGTTTACGTTGGCTTCATCGGTCTTATTACATACGAATAGAATTACGTCTATATTATTGCCTTCCTTTCGCAGATTACTACTGTGGAGCGCCAGGTTTTCGACTTTCTAGGCTTTATGTGGGCCCCGATACTGATTAACTTTTTCAATATTATATTTGTGATCTTGGGATTTTTTGGGGCCTTTCAATGCAGACCTAAATATATCATATCTGTAAGTAATAATTCTTATATTTGTTGGTTTAACAACGTAAACTAATACATATTATTGCATGTACGTTATTATTTAAAAAATCCTTGATTATTTCAGTATTGTGTATGGAATACCGTATGGTTGGGATGGAATATATTTATGATATGCTTTTACCTTGACGTGGGCATACTGGACAAAGTGAGTCATAGTATTGTGTATCTTTATGACCACAATTATAGTTATTATAGTTATATATATTATTATGGCAACAATTATAGTTACAGATATAGTTCTTGTAATAATTTTGAAATACTTTTTAGAATAGCGATATTTTGAACCTTGGAACAGGAAGCTTTTCATGGTGGCATGTCAATGGTCCAGGTTGCAAAGCCATTTACGATGTCACAGAACCTGAATTATTTAGACCTGCAAGGCCTAGCAATGTAACAGACTGTGTATTAGATTATGAAGTAGTTGAAATTTTACACGCGTCAACACAATGTATCTTAGGTGTACGTATTACTTTTGTAAATAATTTCTCATGAAATTCATTGTCATTTTCATTGAACATAATGTTTCGTGTATTTCAGTTTATTGCAGTCGTGGGCGGTATTTGCCTAAGTAAAGTTTTCCTGGAAGAAGATGACAGCTGTAAGTATCAAACTTAAAACCGTTCATTTCGATCAATCCTACCATCAGATCACTATAAAATGCAGTTCTGTTGCGTAAAATCATTCAGTGTTCTCTTTCGGGATTTTGTCTGGTGGTAAGTTCAGGTATAATTAGCAATGGTAACGGTGAACAAGAGCTGCATAGAAAAGCGAATCACGGGGATTATGAAATATCGTTGTATCACTTTTATGCAGTGAAACACTTCACGACTGAACATTTTTATTTCTAAATAACATATTGGGATTTATTATTGCTTGAAAAGAGGGTTGTCGGTTACAGTTGATTTCATTGGTGGATTTGATCCCCCATTTTGGTAAGTGCTTTGCCTGATTCATTGTTTGCACGCATTTTATTTTTTTTATTTTTGGTATTTGCCCATCTCAGCACGAGTAAAATTATTATTTCTCGAGATTGTCGACGAGAATGTCACTGCATTGCGAGAGATAACATATTCTGCATCTTCGTAATAGCGTAAACTTTGTGTCTGTTCACTTAGCTCTATGAGATCTCGACTAGCATGGATCATTTATCGAATATTGTTTTATTATTTTCTTTTCTTTTTTTTATTTTTCGCAACATTCGAACGTTCCAAAAGATCATTAGATGTCTCGATAAATAAAACTCTCGCGAGAAGAATCGTCTAAACAACAAATAGATACAGCAAATTATGATCTAATGCAATGGGTTCTGCGTCATATTTTCAGTTGACTTTGTGGGAGGTGATGACTTCGGGTTGGCAGGCCACACACCGTTACATCCTATGTACGTTAGCTACTCGGCTCTTCCATCACCTGCCCACCTTCACAAAAATTCCACTCAAAATTACTCGGAAGGCACGGTTAGCTCTCACCAATCGATCGGTCACGATACCAGCTTCCCAAAGCAAAACGAGAAATTCTTGAACAACTCGGTGCGAAGTAAAAATAGCTTCCGTAACGACACGATACGAACCACCAGAAGCAGCGTGTCCAATCGCGACCTAAAGTACGTTGACTACTCGAACGATTATTCGAATCCCTTAGATCATTTGCAGAGACCTGTGTCGCCGTACGACGAGTACGACTCATTGGACAGCGCGGCTAGATTGAGATATCAAAAGAACAAGATGTATTATCCTCATTCGTCGCGGTACAGTCCTGTCGCGTCTCCGCGTGCTAAATCTCGTCCGATCTCGTCGAAGCAACCTAAAGCCTCCGGCAAGCCTAGAGTCTTTACGGATCATATTCGCGAGCAACCCCTCCGATCTTATTACTCGGATCCTAGATTGGCGATCGAGAACCAACCAAACGCAAACGACCAGGAACATCCGAGTAGTAGACCCCACAACCATAGAGATAGCAGACCGTTGTCCTTATACGCCAGTAATTTTTGAAACGGTCACAGCCCTCGGTTCTTTTTTTTTATCTTCTCTTCTCTAGGGTCTCACGTCGGATTTTTTTCGCGGGTTTTAAATTGCGTACGACTGATGTTCTGTGAAGCACTTCGACGTTGAGTCAAAATTGTCAGAGCGCAACACGTAATTCCTATACTTGCCAAATAGATAGAACGATTAGAGTAGCTAATTTAGGGTGCCTTCCCCATCTACGATCCACGTTCTAGTGTAAATGGGATTTTCCATAATTCTCTGTAACATCACGCTAACACGTGTTCGCCACGTTTGTTTCTCTCTCTCTCTTTCTCTCTCTTTCTTTTTAAGTATTCCGACTGATTGTCTAATCGGATCCTGTGTTCAATAGCTCCGTTCATTTACCGTGCTCATGTTAGGGGATGCATACACTTCGGTATGGCACAAATAGGGTTGCATTCATGAATTGTCTTCATCTCTATTTTTTATTCGAAATTGTATATTATTAGGCAATCGTTGCCATTATTTAAAGATGCACAGTTTTATTTTTCGAAGATTTTTTTCATTAAGGAAATATTAAGAAATAGTGAAGATTCATATATCCGGTAGGACAGATTTTTCAAAACAACGTCTGTGATACCAAACAATATCTATTTCAAGCTTTGACTGAATGAAGTACGTAAATTATTATTTTAAAGTGGATAATTATGATAAAGTAATGGTCGTATAGAAATTCTCTTTAAAAAGGGAATCGCATGAGAAAACATTGTTATGCTTACAGAGAAGCACAAGCGTAATACTGTGAACTAATGTCGACAATTTTGTGCCTTACTTGCGTGTATCTAAACCCCTTAATACATTTTCTCAGAGATTTATTTACAATTAGACATTTGTGGGTGGTTATTAATCGTGAAGCATACGTATAATCATGTTCCGTGAAGCAACATGTATTTATACGGATACACGCGCTGTGATACGTATAGAAATATGAATTCATGATCATAATCGAGACTTTTTATCAATTGTAAGATTTTTAAACTTGTACTTAGTGACAAATTTCGTCTTTCTCTCTTTTTGTTTGTTTTTTGTTTTTTTTTTCTTTTTTTTTTGTTTAAAATATACCAGACGACGATGCGTTGCTTTGTAGAAAGTAACAAGCCTGAAATAAAAATTTTATTGTAAATGACCGCGACTGCCGTAGGGCTCGTTCGAAGCTATACATATTATTTTTTTTTGTGAATGGCTTGAGAAAGTGACATTCGATGGAACTTCTAAGGCTGCATTTGACGAGCTTGTTGTATCGTGACGATGAGCTAGTTTCGTTTCGTTTCGTTTCGTTTCGTTCACTGCTGCCGGATATTCTCTTGATTTGACGAATGTGTCTGTCAATGAGTAGTGCATGCTAGTTTCCTCCCCCCCCCCATTACACGATTCTTTCAGTTCTCGGTAGAACGTTTATTTTAGGTTTTTCTTTGTCGAGCAAAACACACAATTAACACTATGCCGTCCGCGGATCTTAGATATGATTCTTTTGTTTGACGCCGGCATAATAGCTTGGAAATTTTAGATTTTAAAAAATATTTCGAAGATGGCGGTAATATAAATGAAGATAAAATGAAGATATGTCATCCAAAAATTTTCGTACTTAATTCTTAGTTAAATAAGCACAATGCTATTAGTTAGTTTGCTGCTTTTTAACACCCAAGAAGTATAGTTCAAATGTTATTTCAGTTTTTTAAAATGGCACCAAAGTGCTACCACCGGCATACAACAGATAGTTTTTGCATGGCACCAGCGTGGTGCTATCGGACGGCATAGTGTTAAGGTATATCGGTTAGACGTAAACATAGACTTAATATATCGAGCAAAAATAACGCGTGCAATTGGAGATATTTAAATAAGACGACAACGATATGAATTTTCTAGTTTTACGTTCCACCGTCTCATTTATATACACACGTATGTATATAACAATATACTTTCTCGGAAAGCTGATTCACGACATTCCACGTAGATCATCGATCGCCTAACGGCGGATCCCGAGGTGGCGAAAGATTGTACATTGAAGCTCCTCGTTTCCTCCGAAACGAGGTGGTGGGTGTTCGTGTTTTGTTTTCTTCAAATAGACTGCACAAACTGGCGTTCGCGCAGGATGTTCTACGAATCGCCGTTGTTTTTTTTTCACGGAGGCGACGAATTATTAAATTATCGGTCGCGTGCGCGCGGCGGGGACACAAAAAGTCACGGAACGAACAAATATTTCACTTGCCGAACGTTGCTCGAACCTCCGGACACGCGAAGTCCGCGCACATGTCCTCGTTCCGTGTGCGATCCGCTGGCACGGCAATTAAGCTGCAAAATGCCGTTGGATCGCGCGCGCCGCAACGATTGATAAATGAATATTTAACGCGATCTAATAATAGACCGAACACGAGAGAGGACTAGCATTGCCCGATCCGTTGACAGGAAGAAGTTGTAACGACAGAAAAATAGGATATATACATATATGTATATACGTGTATATACATGTATATACATATGCATATTTCGTACTTGAGATGTATTACGCAGCCTATTCTTCGTCGCACACGACCGATATCATATCGTTGGCCTCGCAAGGTTCATAAAACAACCTGTTCGCCGATCGAGTTTGTTTCTTTATTTTGTAAGTAGGTTTTATCGATGCATCGTTACTTATGAATTAGATACATCGTACACGTTGCAAACGACTAGCGCAGGATAGAAAAACGAGCACAAATTGTTTTACTTGACTTTCTTGCAGTGTTTCCCCCTGGGGGGCATATTTTAACGGATTTGCTGTCTATTTTTCTTTTGTTCTACTGTCGCTCGGTAATATATATATATATATACATATACAAATTGTACACACGTGTACGTATTTTTGGCCGATGTGCGCGTACGCATTTCTCGCGCGACTTTATTTATACGAAAGCAACACAGTTGAAACTTCCTGGTAGAACCTCGACGGTCGCACGTAATTGGGGCAGGAGATGATGATGATGATGATGATGCATGCTGGGTAACCGATCAGTCGCATATAAGGCCTTCCACTTCTTGTCACAGTACCAATACTCCTTCCGCCGTTGATTTTGTAATTTTATTTATAACGCAACCCCGCTGCCGAGAGCGACCGTCGCCGATACGCGTTGCAACTATCGAGGTTTCTACCGGTGTTTAGTCCGAACAAAAGACACGTTCCCCGGCCAGCCGTTTGTTTTTAACGCGCTACTTCCGGTCCAGGTGGTCGAACGTACGGTAGTGCAATTTCTCTTCCCGTTTGAAGCTTGTACACAAGTAGTCTCGTGTGTATGTGTATCTCGTTTAAAAGGCGTAGCTCTTAGTTTTATATTTATTTACTGTATCATTTGATTTACCTTGGTGCGGTTCATTGGCGACAATAAACGTGCAATGCTACTACTTCGCTTGCTTTTTTTTATTTATTAACCCCCACTCTATCTCTTTCTTTCCCACTCTAACAATCTCCTCTTCCGGTATTCGGGGAACTGTTTTTTTTTTTATTTTTTATTTCATTCGTTCACTTTGTGTCCACTACCTTTTTTTTCTGGTTATCGTTCGCTATACGGGGGCCTTGGGGAATTATAGTGGTCGTGGGGCTGCGGAACCTCCGAGAAATTCTATTTCGTCGCGATGGGAATTTCATTTTTTCTTTTTTTTTTGGAACCGATTTGGTCGAATTAATGACTCGTAGACTCGTAGTGCATCGCTTGGGGAAAACGTAGAAATTGATATGTATATGTATATCCTAGGAAACTAAACTGTCCCAATTTATTTCCGTTCGATCTTTTTCCCGCATCTGGAAGTTCGATATTTACTCTCCTGTTGTCCAGCTGCACCCTTTCCGATACCTTACACGTTTCGCTCGTTGTTTTCATTTCGTGCGAAGACAATTTTCGAGCCTCGTTGGAAAAAATAATCCGGAATTCTTTACGCGCTTTAATCCTTTGCACTCGAGTGGTGACTCGGAGGCACCACTATAATTTGTTACATCACGTTTTCAGATAATTTTTATATTAACAAAGTTCAGATTTACAAGATCGTTAAGAGCGTTACTGTTGCGCGAGTCCCAAGAGTCAATTTCATATGCATAAAATGCACTTTATCGTATAAAATAAAAATGCTGTAAGTGAGAAAAATGATTTTATATTTACAGTTAAAATAGCGTCGAGTGCAAAGGGTTAAAATTATACTACTGGCGATTAAAATTATACTAGATCTTGAACAGCGAAATCTCCATTTTGATTTAGCTGATTTATCGTTTTCAAAACTTCGTGGTAAACAATCGTTCTCTCTACTTCACGATCTCAAGATCGAAGCAATCTTTTTACAACGCGCAATTTTCTGTTGCTGTCTCGTTGCACTTCGAATAAACCTAATCTACCGTTGGTATTGCAATAACTGTATGAACTATATTAATCTTGACCGTCGTTGAAAACGTTCTCCAAATCAAATAAATTCGTCTACACGGTGCACGAACTTTCGCTGTTTAGTTAACTACATCCTTTGGCAGTCGAAACAAGTTATCGCGACCTTGAAGGTCGCTCGAAGCAAGCCATTTTAACGCATTTGTGTCGATTAACTTCTAAATCTTGTGTTAAATCCTATCATCTGCGTCTACAGGGTGTCCCTGAAAGTTATGTACAGACGGGCACCAGGTGATCCCTCGTAAAAAGACATGACGAAAATATAGAATAACTTCTTCTGTTTGGGATTTTTCTAATTTTCGAGAAAATCGCAATAGCCGCAGAACTGACATCCCTTGCGTGGAAGGTTTCGGTCACCTTGGGTGACCGAGGGGACACCCCAATCAGGGACACCTTGTACAGGGTGTCCCAAAAATGTCTCGCAATCCGAAAGTAGGCGATTCCTGATGCCAATTGAAGCAACTTTTTCCTTAGCGAGAATGCAATCCGCGGCTTCGTTTACGAGTTATTAACGAAAGACAGTGACCAATGAGATGCGAGATCAGCTGGCGCGGGACGGCCGAGCCAATGAGCGTAACTGGGCCCCGTGCGCTCGTTGACTGGGCCGCTTCACGCCAGCCGAGCTCGCCTCTCATTGGTCACTGCTTTTCGTTAATAACTCGTAAACGAAGCCGCGGATTGCATTCTCGCTAAGGAAAAAGTTGCTTCAAATCACCTCAGGAACCTCCCATTTCAGGATTGCGATACATTTTCGGCACACCTTGTGTAGTCCGGTCAACCAGACGAGTCAGTAAAGCTCGATGCCTGCGGCTGAAGCAAAATTGGCTGTCGAGTGCCGAGCTAAGGGCGAACTTTGGTCCTCCTGCGAGGACCTTTGCTTGCAAGGCCTGATTGTAAAGCTTGATACACGCACTGGCTCGTCTCCCTGGACAGACTATATAGCATACGCGACCGTTGCTGTGTTTCTTCGACTCCTAAGCAATTGGTTCCCCATGTGACCAGACTCTTCGCTCTTTGTTTCCGCGACAGTACAAGCTAAACGGAAGAAGAAGCAGCCGAGGCCGTTGTACAGCATCGAGTACTCGCAGCCGGAGCCGCCGGTGCACGACGACAGCGTGTCCCCGAAGCCGATGACACCTCGAAGGGTGAAGCGGCGATCGGTGATCTCACGGGACGGGACCAGACGGTCCAGCCGGAGGAGCTCGGTGCGGCAGTCGCGCAGAAAGAACCCCGTGAACCGCATCATGGACCACCAGGAGAGCCTGTACGCGAACACGACGCCCAGCAACCTGACCAACCAGAACGTGAACTCGCTGTCCCAGGGCACGCTGAACTACGATCGCATCTCGATGACCTGGGACAGGGACCGTAACTCGAACTGGCAGCCGGAAGCCGTCAACATGGCCGTGTCCTCGCCCGCCATTTGGAACCAGGACTCGTCCAACAACTACTCGAACACCAGCAACTACGCGAACCAACCCTATCCGAACTGGGACGCGAGCAGCTCCACCAGGAATCTCACCGACAATTGGCAGCCGAGCGAGGTGAACCCGATGCAGTGGCAGGGCCAGAGCAACCCAACATTCCAGCAGACCAGCACCCAGAGCCTGAACGGCGAGGACCTGGACGATTTGTACAATAATCGACCGGCCAGCGCCAGGTCCAGCTATAGCAATTACCACGGGGTCAGAGCGACGCCCCAGGTGCCTAACAGGAACGACATTGTCAGACAGAGCCAGAGACAGTTCGTTCTCAGCGGGCCGCCCGCTTATCAGGACACGGTTATTTAGGATAATAATATTCTTGGGCCCGCGTTCGTGGGAGTCGAGACGATGGGGGAAGGAAAATTTCACGAATTAGGGAATCGTTCATGGCGAAATATCGGTCGGCTGCCAGACGTTGCTGTTGATTCAACCGTTGCGTTATCATACTTGATCATTCATTGATTTATTTCAAGTCCTGTTTACGCATTCAAATTTGTATCGATTATTCGTCTGCGATCAGGACGTCTAAATCTGTGAGATTTCTTCATGAAGTTCTTGCGTTTTGAATCATTTGTATCGCCGCGTGTTCCTTGATTTTTATTCGGCAAATTTCGTTGTAAGATTTAGAGGTAGATTTGTAAATAATGATTGGATCTGAAATAACGTTTGGATCTGTAGTTTTGTACGGAACTATGATTTTTATAGTTCAAAGATGCAGAGATAATTATGCACGAAGAATACACGAAAGACCTCGGGGAATACAACTTATGTCGAAGGAGTAAATGTTGTAGTAAAAAGAAACTTATTTTTAAGATTACATGTTCCGAGACTTCGAGATTATCGACGTTTCTTTTCCAGTAATAACTTTGCGATGTTGACATAATACTTGTAAAAATCTCATCCGCTAAAATGCTTTTCTCCTTCAAAAAATGAATCTATTAAAAACCACGTAATTCCGTGACGATTAACGTCTTCGAAATTGTACGTTTCCCATTGAAAAAAAGGTCGATGAAAAAGATTCTTTAATTTGTGCCTCTCGAGCACAGATATTATTTTCACTCTTCCTGCATAATTACGCTGCGCTACTTAATGCAAATCATCGAAACGGTCTGAGACAAAAAAAGACCAACGCGCGTTTATCATCGATGAATCGACGCGTTTAATATTCGATTCCTCTTCGCCACGAGATTCGACGATGCTCGATTCGCTTGCGTCAGCTGATACGTTTGCTTTTGTAGTTCTGATCCGGCCACGCGAATTTCTTGTCCCTAGATTCGAAACACCTCCAGAGGAATAGACGGGGAAAGGAAACGAATGGCATAATGGTTGAATCAGCAAATACGATTGCAGAATGATCTCATTGGTATCTCCCCGGGTCTCCCAAGGTTTCGATGTACGCGCGAACGCTGGCCATTGTTAGTAAATCATAGTTATACGCTGCGGCGATCTTACGTTAGAACTGTTACTGTTAAGGTACAGTGAGCGTGGGAAGGCTCGCCCTTCCCGGCGCCTCACTGATTTTCAAGCTTTACTTAATAGCAGCGGATGCGATTCGCACGGTTCGAGCTGCGCCTTGTTGTACTCTATAATAGAAATTCGACCGGTTTAAACAGGAGCAATCTTCCGGAAATTCTGATTACGTTTACA